AAAAAAGTATTAGCATCAAAATGTACTCCTTTTGCAGAATAGGCCATTTAAGCATAATATATTTCAATTAATTGTAGCTTAAAGGACCTTTAAGTACAGCACTTGAGTAAATGAACTTGGCAATTCCACCCTGGTAGTCATGTGTGAATATGTTAATGTCTTTTTTACTTAGCTGTATATCTATCTTCTCAGTACGGATTCCAGAACAATTTCCCTTAAGGGGACAATAAAGTATATCGCATCGCAAACAAACACGCCCGGGCAGAAGCCCTGGAACCATCACAAAAAATGTTTGTTACCTCTAAAAAACAATCCTGGAATGCTCGCCTAAGCATCAGTTCTATAGGAACATTCCCAGATTTGTAATTCTGCAAAACCTTTATATAACCTGAAGGGACAATCCCTGAATGTTCCTATGAGTTTATATTTGTAATGCTGATGAATATGTTCTTATTAGTATCATAATAATTTCAAGTATGGTTTAAAAAGTAGGGCTGCATTAGCAGTATGGATTAATCTATTGTGGTTTCATCTGTTGTTTGGTCTGCAAAATGATATCGCCAAAAGTTGCCAGAAATTGCTACACAACTATAAAACAGACTGGAAGTAGTAAAAGCTAAAATCGTAACAACCAGAAACAAGTTATTTTTTGTCATTGGTGCATGACAAAATATATTGGTTGCCAAGATTGTTGAAAAAATATTCTTTCTAATCATTTACTTGTCAATCAGACAACTGTTTCAGTTCTAACTAAAATACCTTAAATGATATATACTAAACATTCTGTGAAATGCATTGAATAACAACCCATAATGAAAGTAGCAATAACAACATTGTTGATTTCCCATTTCTGACCCAGAAGCATTTTAGTGGTCTAGTTGTAGTAATACACCATTCATTTGACAGGTGTTAATCCATAAATCTGTATCTATATGTTCTGAGTTGACCAAATATGGGTGAAGTGTCCACAAATAGACCTATGACACTGGCCAAGTGTTGCTGTTTTCAAAATGTGTGACCAGTATCTCAATACTGACAGCATTTGATACATTTAACTTTTTTATATTCAATTAATGTTTAATTGATATGAATACTTAAAGGTGGGGTAGGTAATTTTGGAGAAACCAGCTCGAGTGCGCAAGAATTTGAAAATACACAGCCGGAAAAAATCTGCCACTTCCTTACAGAGCCCCTCCTCCAACACACACGAACGCGCACATGACCAATGAGGGCACAAGATAAATTTGTGCACAGATGGAAGGCTGACAGGCAGGTAGGCCATCCAGTTATTTTAGCCGGGCCGGCTAAAATGATTGGTCGTGCTTTTTACAGTACTACGGCTTCCACAGATGACATTTTTTTTATGGATTTTTTGTCAAAGCACTTAAGATATTCATTGCTATCGGGATATTAAGAGCATTCCATGGAATATAACAAAAAGTGTATCTCGAGCCGGTTTCTCAAACTTACCTACCCCACCTTTAATTGAAGAAAGCTATACAATTGCTACATTTGCAATGGGCTTCCTGGTCCCTGAATCTGATTGGTAACCAATGTCAGTGTTACACAGTTCTGCATCATATTTAACACTCAATAATCAAGGCCTACCTCAGTATGTAGCAGCTCCAGGTGTAGTAGCTCCATATCATGCTCAGCAGTGGCTGTTTACGTTTGTGCTTTATAAATCTTATTTTCACTAAAGATATGTATTCCCCCTATTTGTTAACCATTTTAAACGTTGACCTTCAATTGCAATTATCTAAAGAACAGTCAGCTGTAATAAAGGAAAGTACAGCCTGTTTGACTTCACCTGAGTATGTGTCAAAATCTCTGCGATACAAACGCTTTTGAGACAGCATTAGCTATGGAGGACGGAACATGACTTAAGTATAAATAAATAAATAAATAAATGTGTAAATAAATGTATGAAGAAATACAGGAATAAATAAATAAATACGTAAATAAGTACAGGAATAAATAAATACAGGAATAAATAAATGACGAAATAAATACAGAAATAAATAAATGTTGAAATAAATACACAAATAAATAAATAAAAGAATAAATAAATATGGAAATAAATACACCAATGTATAAATAAATAAAACAGAACACACGTTATTATATATCTTTCATATATTTCTACATTTACTCGACATACATTTATTTCTTTATTTATGTGTCCGTATGCTAATGAGGTGGGCGGTCCTAACCTCAGTCTGAAGCAGGATTGGTTACAGGAGTGTGTGATCATTTCTGGCAGAGGGCTATACTAACGCCTGGCTAACCGCGCTGATTCGAATGCAGGAGCTTTACTGTTTAGCCCTTATCTTTATACATCCATGGTTTATCCACAGTTGTAAGGATTATTTATGGGTTATAAAGAAGCCATTATTAGCGAGTTGCCGTGGGTGTACACTGTACACAGAATGAACAGATGTGACTTGCCACGAATCTCTTGCTTCTGCCTGGCTCCAACAATTGGCGAATCCTGCTTCAGACTGAGGTTAGGACCGCCCACCTCATTAGCATACGGACACATAAATAAATAAATGTATGTCGCGCAGTGGCGACTGGTCATTAGGGGCAGGTGGGGCACAGCCCCACCTAGTGTCAGCAGAAAGTATTACAAATAATGATTACAAAAAATGCAAAAAAATATAAAAATATATATTTTAAGATCATGTTTAATCATCTGATTCGTCTGTACATTGCTGTTTTAGTCTGTGTTCTTCTAATTAGTGTCTACAGTGTGTGCCTATTGAGCTGTTTAGAGCCATGTGGGACAAAACCTGATCATGCCCCTCCCTCTCACTGTCTAAGTGGACGGTGACTGTAAAAACTACACTGCGCATGCTCAGAGTATTTTCCTATTTAATGTGTGTGGCAAAAAAATAATGACCATAGGGGCACTGAGCTGCCATCCCCACCATACGTCATCTCACATAATTCAGAGCTGATTGGCTGTAAGTACGTGTGCCGCGAAAAGTGTGGTGTGTGAAGAGGAGACGAGAGAGCTGCAGTGACGCGTCCTAAAACCCGGAAGTAAGCTGCTCATGGCTTCTCTCGACAAAAAAGCAATGAGATTTCTCCATAGGATTTTAGAAAATAGCTCGAAATAAGATCTGTGGGAAACGTACCTGTTAGATAAATTCACGTTTTGTTCAGCCGGATAATATCCACATGTCTACCCTACTTTTATAATTTTTGAATCATAAATCTATCGATTAGATTTATGATAGACTTTTGAAACTACAAGAAGATAAGGAGGACTTTTACAAAAAAGTAATAGAGATTTTTGTCCAGAAGGATAGGCAAATGGACTTCATCTTCAAGTCAAGGTAAGACCGCAATTTTATTGAAAATGGAATCTTACTAAGAGAGAACAATTCAATATTTAAATGATAAAATTATATTTTTTGGGTATCCTTTTGTTGAACTGTCTGTTTAAAATTAATCGAAGCATCAGACAAAAAAAGCTTTTGAAAATAATATTATATTTTGGTTTAGGTCAAAATATAATATTTGTAAACCTGAAGAGTCAGTGCCAGTGCCTCACCAGCCATGAACTTCACTGCACGTCACTGCAGAAGCTTATATAGACATCTACGTTTTTTGTGCCCCACCACTTTTGTACATATAAAAACACCACTGATGTCGCGTAAATGTAGAAATATATGAAAGATATATAATAACGTGTGTTCTGTTTTCTTTTCGACTTTTATTTATTTATTTATACATTGGTGTATTTATTTCCATATTTATTTATGCATTTATTTATTATTTTATTTATTTATTTGTGTATTTATTTCAACATTTATTTATTTCGTCATTTATTTATTCCTGTATTTATTTATTTCTTTACGTATTTATTTATTTATTCCTGTATTTCTTCATACATTTATTTACACATTTATTTATTTATACTTAAGTCATGTTCCGTCCTCCATAATTATCAGCACAGCCCCACACAGAATGTCCACCAGCAATGTAGCTCATTTAAAAGCAGACACGTTTTTTACGTGCTGGTTTGGCTAGATTGTCCAACCAAGTTATGAGGCATCAACATTTTTTAACTGACCGCACAGCCTCTACAAGATCCTATACAACAAGAAAAGTGAGTGTGTGTGTGTGTGTGTGTGTGTGTGCGCGTGCGTGTGTGTGTGTGTGTGTGTGTGTGTGTGTGTGTGTGTGTGTGTGTGTGCTTAAGTGTAGGCTATGCTGTCTATAATAGTAATTATTGTAAAAAAAAAGTTAATTCTTCAAATCAGAACTTTTTTATTTGTTATGTATTTTACCTTATCTACTTAGGATCAACATTGTACCCACTGCTGTGCCTGTGTCACATACTTTTGAGTTTTTTACACCACTACATTTCAGAGGGACATTCGAAGCATGAAAATAACCAAAACTAAAAATGACGGATCAATCTAACCCCATTATTAAAATACTGCTTGTGCACTAGAGTCGACTCCTTCACTTTTCATTTGATCAGAGAAGAAGAGGGCGGTACAAGAGCGTACATACTCGGTCACTTCCGGCTTTGCTTTGTGCCGAAAAATCTTTCGTATAAAGTAGTATTTTTGGTACACAGTTGTTTTTTTTATTATTTTCCATGTTATTATGAAGGATATTTATTATGCCATGTAAGTCTCCGACTATGTTTTAGATTGTTTATGAGTCTGGGAATCCCTGTTTTGAATGTAATGTAATATTACATAAGCTCTGCGAGGTAGGCCTGGCCCGTATAAAGGCAGCGTGTGGACTAAAAGAAGGGAAACAGAAGAAAGACATGAATTGCCTTTACATATTCAAAATGTTGTTTCATAGACATTAAGGTGTTCGGACCATAGACTGTATAAAGGTTCTTACCGGTTCGGACGCTGGAGAGAAGGATGCAGTGATTTATTTCAATCCCGTGTTGTGTCTTTGTTGACGGAGGAGAGCTGTGATTTGTTGAAATTACACCGCAAACAATTTTTACAGCATCGCGAGATTATGATGAGTTCTGTGACGAAAGGCCCTAGATGAAATTGTATTGATGTTGTGTGTGGATGGACTGGATCTGGATGCGGTTATCTGCCTTCTTACGCTGTCAGACAGCTGATTATTCCACTAAGACAGTTGTTGAACATCGACTACAAATGATCTGCTATGTGTTGTTGTCGATTTGAAGCGAGGACGGTGAGTGCTGTCTGCTGCTTTTCGTTGTGTTTTGAATTATGAGCCCATTCAGTGCAAACAGGCCAGTTTTCTCCCCTTTAGCATTTTAATGTTGTCAGCAGCTGGGCCACCACCAGCACCACAACTCAATTATAAGATAGCGTTACTTGTACCATGTTTGCTACCAATAACTGCACAGAGGAGTCGTGAAAACTGAGCCTAGTTGCAAAATGCAACATAACGCATTAAGCCCAAATCTATAGATGAGTACAGTGGGAATGATATCGGATTTATACATATTTTTGTGCTAAAGTGCCGTTGCGTTAGCGTTCACTCTGCTTTGCTAAACTAAGAAACACACATGCTAGTTTGTACTTTTGCTGACAGAAAAATAGGTAGTATGGTAACATGTTGGGGAAGATGTAATTGACTATATCAGAAATCTATGTGAGTCAGTAAACATCATCACTGACTATACCAGCTGCTACCATTAACTTTGATAAAGGACATTTGCACTGATATGATACAATACTTGAATAAGTATTGTAAAATTTGGGCAATTTTCATCCTTATTTCTTAAAAAGATGTCATAAGGTGAGACACTTGTACTTTGTACAGAATGTCTTTTGTTAGTTACCAGTTCAAGTTATTCCTGACATGGACATGTTGTGTTTGTTTAAGCTTTTTTTTCATTCAAAAAGTATGATGACCTTGTTTAGGTGAAATTGCATCTTCTGTTAGACAAGCTCTATCTATCTTACTGAAAAGTCGACTCCTCAACTGGAGGTCTCAAGTTTCCACATCACCTTGTAAACATATGAAACTTGTATATGTTAGCACAGAGACAATTTCCCTCTTCATAAGGTGGTTTTAAAGAAACAGACAACATACAGATGTCATTATGCACATTGAAGTTCATCTAAGTGATTTAACAACAAGTAAACCACATTTCTTCAGTGGAGGGGGATTTTAGTTATATAGATTATACCTCACAGGAGTGCTGGGATCGTTGCTTAAAATCCTTTATTTAATATTCATGCAGAAAAAAACTAGGACATTCAAATTCAGAAAAACTGTGGTTCTTTAATAACCTGCCTTCTTGGTACAAAGTGGATTTCTTGATATGTATATTTTATAATGGTTTAAAAAGAGTGTTAAATAAACCTTGTAACTTAGATTGAGGCGGTCCATTTCAAATTGATTTGCACCACTAAGAAATGTTATATTAGGCAATACTGCTAAATCAACGGCAAATATTTAGGCAAATACTTACAAACCAAGAACCAACATGAAGTTTAGGAAACATTTAGAAACAATAGGTTCATCTCAATGTCCCTCCTCGACTCCTCTCTCCCCCTCCTCCGGGACTTGACCCGGAAATCGATCAAGACACGCCATGTTGAAGGACGTCCCAATTGCTGAAATGCACACGGAGGAGTCGAGGAGGGGTGAGGGAGGAGGCTTCCAGAGGAGACGAAAGGGAGGATACATGAGAGCAGACTACGCGGAAGTGTTTTCACTACTCGCGTATAAAAGCCCCGCCCCCACCTTTACAGCCTCTGCTCACTGCAGCTGATCTTACCGTTAAAGGAGGATCAGTTGGATGCATCACATCCTACTTTGTATAAAATGAGCCATGTACATTTTAGTTCATTTGCCTACAAAGCTAACTTGTTCTTTTGTTGTCCATCCCTCACCTTTTCAGCTCGAAGGAGGCAGGTCCAGGACACCATGAGTCCTCCAGCTCTGCTCTGTTGTCACAGGAAAATCTGGCTGCATTCAGCAGCAGGAGGCAAAAGCATCTCTTCTGACCACCCAATTATTATCTTCTCCCGGATGCTATGGCAGGACGAGCACAATGAATAGATACACCAACATCAGACAGCTCGGGGATGGCACCTACGGCTCCGTCGTCCTCGGCCGCAGTCTGGAGTCAGGAGAGCTAGTTGCCATAAAGAGGTGAATATCCCCAAAAATGTTATGTCGGCAATCAACGGCATCTTTTTTCTCTGATATACAATATGATGTAATTTTCAATAAATGAGTTAATGTGAAAAATACATTTCAGAATGAAAAGAAAATTCTACTCCTGGGAAGAATGCATGAACCTTCGTGAAGTCAAGGTGAGTTTATCTTTTCTACATTTTTCCACACTATTAAGGAGCATAAGTGTTATGAAAAAAATGTACCCAAAAACCAACCTAAAGGAAATGCCCTTTTCTTTACTTGAATATATCTTGTCTTATGTGGAGTTTCAGCTCCATTCTCCACATTTTTGGGGTGACATATCCCCACACTCTGCTGTATTACTAGCTTATCTTAAAATGTATGTTTTGGAGAAGTAGAACAACCATACAACTGCTGATTTTAGGTGATCTGTATACCTTCTCCCACAAAATGTGTATTTCTCTTGAGTCTTTTATAATTAAGTACATACATTATGAACATCAAAATGTAATACCAAACATTACATTTCACAGTAGTTGTTCTGATGCAGCGACCACATGATGTTGTGTTGGTGCCCCTCCTGTTACTGTCTGTTTTGTAAATGTCAAATACTCTTTATTGTTTTTTTTCACACCATTTCATTGTGTTACTGTCTACATTTCCTCACAGCTCAAAGTCACACACCAGCTCTAAGAGTTGAAGGTGATTGTTGTGTTTTGAGCTCCCATCCCTCCTTTCCTAGAGCTCCACCTTAACGCAGAAAACATGTACAACACGCTGGTCCTTTGAGTCCTGCTAATTGGATCATAATCACAGCATGTCACATCAAAATCTCAGAATCCCATTGCAGCTTCTTTCCCCTTTACTTAAATGTAGCATGGTAAACCTACAGCGTCCCAGTGCATGGGAAAGGTGTATATTTCTCCACCCTGCTTTCTATTTCCCCTCTTTTAAATTGTACGTTTAAATCCCACCTTTGCAGCATTTCTCCCCCAAACTCCATTGTGTTCTTACAATAGCCATGTTTTAACAAGAAGGGTTTGTGTCATAGTTGCAGGGCGTGCTTTTGAATGTGCTGCAGTGACCTGTGTGTTTTTTCCAGCATGGCTTTTATTTCTACTCCTTTGCATTTCTCATATTCTAACATGATCTGTTTCTCTTTCAGTCCTTAAAGAAACTCAACCATGCCAACGTGATCAAACTCAAGGAAGTCATTCGAGAAAATGATCACTTGTACTTTATATTTGAGTACATGAAGGAGAATCTATATCAGCTCATGAAAGACAGGTGTGTATATATTTTACTTGTAGCATTATTTAATCGTGTGCTTAGAGTTTTTTAACCGCTGGAGTTTTCTAATTGTTCTTCTTGCTGCAGGACTCGATTGTTTCCTGAATCTGCTGTGAGAAATATTATGTTTCAGATACTACAGGGGCTTGCGTTCATTCATAAACACGGTATGTGTTATTTACGACTCTGATGCTAAATTTATCCTGTGACAAATTGGACATTTTGTACAATTTGAGTAATGCAATGTTTCTTTTTTTTAGGTTTTTTTCACAGGGACATGAAACCGGAGAATCTTCTGTGCATGGGCCCGGAGCTGGTGAAAATAGCCGACTTTGGGCTTGCCCGGGAAATTAGATCTCGACCACCATACACAGACTATGTCTCCACCAGATGGTGAGTATCTCTCAGAATATATATAACGCACTGTGTTTAATAAATTATTTACTCAAGTCTGAGTACCCTCTCTTGTTTTTCCACCAGGTACAGAGCCCCAGAGGTGCTCCTCAGATCCACATCCTACAACTCACCCATAGACCAGTGGGCTATCGGCTGCATCATGGCAGAGCTTTATACCCTCAGGCCTCTTTTTCCAGGCTCCAGTGAAGTAGACACCATATTCAAAGTGTGCCAAGTCTTGGGTACACCAAAGAAGGTAAGATCTTTCACATGTGTGCAGCAGAATTATAGAGCACTGTATTTGTCATACCCAGTGCTGTTGAGTAATCCTTCTCACAGTAGAGATACACTTTGTTTAAAGAAAGTATACATCGGCTATTCCACTGCATTTCATAAATACATTTGAGACCAGAGGCTTTCTTTTTACTTTGGCTGTAATTTTTTGTTTGCAAAAACATAAATTCTATGTAGTAGTAATACATTTTTTTGTACATTGACACAAACATTGTATATAAAAAGTTGACATCGTTTTGGACTACCCTGCGGAATCCTCCAGATTATAATTTCCCCCATCTTGGTTTAAATCAGAGTACAACCAAGTGCAGTCATTATTCAACTACTACTATTGTAACAGTGAATACAAAAACGATTTTGTTTTGACATAACTTAATCACGTTACATAAATGTGGTGTGTCAAATGGCCTGTGTCTTCTCCCTCTAGAATGATTGGCCGGAGGGATTCCATTTGGCGAGTGCTATGAATTTCCGTTGGCCTCAGTGCGTTCCCAGTAATCTGAAGACTCTGATCCCAAATGCCAGCCCTGAAGCCATTCATCTGATGACAGACCTGCTCCAGTGGGATCCCAAGAAGAGACCAGCCTCTGCCCAGGTAATGTCTGACCTCCTCATAGCTTCATAGCTCAACATGCAGAATGAAAGCTGACGTTGTTTTGTTCAAACCTGGATGTCTTTCAGTCTCTCAGGTACTCGTACTTCCACGTGGGCCAGGCTCTGGGTACTCCTCAGCAGATCCTGGATCAGGGCCGGCCTCAGCCAGGCCTCGTGCCGCTGCAGGCCCCTTTACAGTCACAGCAGTCTCAGCAGCAGCAACCCCTGCTGCTGAAGCCGGTGCCCCCCTCCCAGCCTCCCCCCCCCAGCCAACACTGCTCCCCCTCCAGGCCCCTGCAGCAGATCCAGCCCTCCGCTGTGTCTGCGGTGGCCCAGGCGGCAGCGTACCAGCGGCACACAGAGCTGGTCCGAGAGCAGCAACAGAAGCACATCCTGAAGCAGGAGCAGAGCGGAGGAACGCCACAGAGCCATCTCCCTTACATCGTGGACAAGAGTCTCCAGAGCAAGGTGAGGCTGGAAACATAAGAGTGTGTATTTATTATATATCTGTTTCTATTGATGGCAAACATTCCATCTTAATATTTTCAAGTGGATGAATAAATATATTAAGCCGTTGCATGGAAACATAGATTAAATCTTAGGCTAGCAATCATATAAATGTGACCTCATATACATCCCTGATAATGGCTGATTGATCTAAGGATTATATCTACTGAAAAAGGATTGGAGGATATGGGATTTTGTTGTGCATCGTTATAAAAAACATAAAACAGACAACAATAAATGAATGCTGGTGAATTTCCTCTATCCAGTTAATAGTTGATATCCTTACATGAGTGAACAATAGAGCCGTATTCACTTATTTAAGATTGTATGTTTGTGTTTCACTAAGCATTTTTTATCAACAACATGTAGGTACATATGTAAAGTACATTTAGAATGCTTAAGTATCATTTAAAGATATCTACTTATAACTACATCACTTTACTTTGATGATCATCACTTTACATTTTTTTAATTACTTTCAAATGATGTAAAGATGGGTTCCATCAAAAGCAGGCTTAAATAACTTATTATCCCTTGAAAATGAAATTGTTTAAAAATACTCCTCATGCATTTGGTTGATGCCGTTCTTTTAGCAAACGAGACAGGAGTCAGAAAAAGAACACCTACTGAGCTATCAGGTGAAGCCTAAAGGGGGGCGGCGGCGCTGGGGCCACGGCACGGGACACCACAAGGGTGAAGACTGGGACGACTATGAAGAGACGGATCTGACATCCATAAGTATTCTGGGAAAAACAAACTTCTCTGCAGAGCAGTCGAGGCAGGGGGAGGACTCACTGAGCAGGTGAGGCTATGATCTGTCATCGTGCGGTACCTTTTTATAAGAGAAAGTGGCTGTACGAATGTGCAAACTAAGACTACAAAAGAGAGCTGAAGTGTTTACATCAGTATTACGACAAGCAGGCAACACACTACCTTTCTCTCATTTAATGCCTTCTGCGTTTCAGATATGGAAACGTTTTGGATTACAGTCGACCCAATGGAAAGGAAGATGCGCCTTTAAACCTGAACAAGAGTTCAGCCTATCAGGAGCCTTCAAGAACCGCTTCTGCCAAACAACATTACCTGAGGCAGTCAAGATATTTACCTGGTAATATATATTTAAAGACTTCCCTCAAATAAACATCAACTGTGTCAACAAGTGCTTTACACCCAACTCGTTTCAGTTAGATTCAAAATAAGTCCTTTGCGTTGGTACCATTGTACTGTTAAAGTAATGCAGATCAACCAAAGAATATTGTGACATTAAATATATGATTATTGCAGGATTTAAAAAAACTACAATTCAATTCTGATTGAGATCTGTTAAGGAAGCAATCTTAAATGCAGTCTTTACAAATGTGCACAGTATATATCACTACAAAAGAGTTGGTAACCTTAAAAAGCATAAAGCTAGATTGGAATTTGTTTGTCACTTTCTTCTTTCTATTTATAATTCTTCTTGTAAAATGTGTGTGATAATCTCTTACTGTCTTTTTCAGGTATTAGCACAAAAAAGAACGTAGCCATAAATGCCAGTAAAGACTTTGCAGGAAGCCATCTTTGGGGCAACAGCAGTATTCCATTTGGAGGGACTCTGCCGAGCAGAGGCGCTCACGGTAATGTCCCAGGACCTCCTGCACTTTACTGCATGGGAATCATTGCAACTTCACTAAGTTCTAATGAAATTATCTGTTTTTGTTTTTTGTAAATACCAGGTACCAATACAATCCCAGGGGGATACATGCCATCGTTTTACAAAAAAGACACGGGATCTGCGGGTCACAGAGGACCTCAGGGTCCTTCAGTGGAATCAACAGCATCAAGTGAGGACACATTTCATCACTTAGAGCTTTCTGCTATAGAGTGCTGCAGGAATGAGTCCTAAAACCCATCTAAGACCCGTCTTAACAAAGGTTCACAAGTGGCGTAATAAGACTACATCGATTTTCAGGGACAATTAAACGCAATCACACCAAACTTGGGAAACTCATGTTCTCGCTAGCCTGCGTTTACAGCCAGGTTATTCGTATACTCTCAAATATTGTAACTCACAAGCTAGATCAAGCTTTGGTAAAAGAGGCGAGCTCTAAAAATCAATGAAGTTGGAAGCGTAGTAGTGATGTTGGCAGTCATGCGATCGGGGTGTAGTTTGTTTATAGGTTTGAGATTGTCATTAAGATGATCTTCTTGTTGAACAAAGTAAGTAAGTAACCTTTCCTTGCCCCAGACATATTTTCTGATTTAAAACAAAAATGGAAAAAAAAATCCCTTTGGCTTTTTTGTGATGCTTCCAGTTTGGCCTACACAACATCATCCCTGCAGCCCTTTACATTCAGCTTTCTATGTGTCACGTTTTCAGTGCCCTGCCACCTAACATTGCCTTTTTTTTACATTTGATTTAACCTGTTGTTTTGATGCCGTTTTAGATTATGCAACATGGCAGTCTGGCCGGAGTCCGATGAACACCTCCACCAACGTGCCGTCACCCAACAAGAGCACCCCCGGTCTGCTGCCTCGCCCACCGACACAAACCATCCACGGGCGAACGGATTGGTCTGCCAAATATGGACACCGCTAGTGCCCTCACTTCAAACTCTTTCACCTCCAAAGAGTAGGCCTAGTTGTTTTATAATATAAGTCTGTACATACATCTTACACAGCAATAACTTTTAATGTTTTTCATTATGTGTACTATGAATGTTGTGAGATGTAAAAATATCTATATGTATATTTAAATGCAAGCGGCCAAAGTTTGGGCCCAGATTTGCTCCTCAGTGTTTCATTTTGTATTTCTGTATTAAAGCTACAGAGGTCACAACTTCAGTTGTGTATCAGATGTATCATTGAATGTTCACCAACCTGTATACATAATATGCATATTATAATTGTATGGAAACTTCACTGTGACCTGTATTTGGCTGCAACTAATTACTTTGCCTTTGTACAGTTTGGTGTGTTTTCCTTTTTCCCTGCTGTTTTTTTATGACGGTAGCCTTGTCAATCAGGTTACTATTATTTGTGCATTATATGTTTTTAATAAAATGTAATGCCTTGCTCTATTTTCAATTAAACAATGCAAATGGTTGCCACAATGTACAATTCAGTTTTATTTCTGAATTAAAATGATCCAAGACAACACGTTATACCCCCTTGGCCAAAGTGAGTGTGATTATTGAATTGCCTGTTATTGAATATAATTAAACTGTTGACTGGGAACCCATATGTCCAACTTGTGCATTTTTTCACGGTACCATGAAAGTGAATGTTTTTATTTAATTAATTAATATGTTGTACTAGATGACATATCTGGCCATTTTCCATGTCCAGCTGCTGAGCATTCCAGCCCGGGTATATTCTGGCCAGCTGTATTAATCTGATGGAGATTAACCCCTCAGAAGTAGTTTACTGTTAATGCTATACTTGCATGAATGCATTGCTTCTGGTCTTCTATAGTGGGCACATCATGTAATTAATTGTATCTATCCATACTTTGGTACATAGTGTGATTGAAAGAAGGATGTTGCAATTGAATCAACTAGCAATGCATGAGGCCCTTTATGGATAACCTCGCTGCATTTGTCCTGAAGATGATGCTGGTATAAGTACATAACCCAATAATATGGTGTCAAATAAACGGTGCTGGAGATGGAAGAGGTGTGGGACATGAGGTCAAATGCTGAGATGGTACTCAGATTTTTTACTTAACTAAAAGTAGCAATACACATTTGTATCAGTACTTTGTTACAAAAAAAAGCCTCAATTCAAAATCTTACTTGAGTAAAAGTACAAAAGTATCGGCATCAAAATATACTTAAAGAACCAAAAGTAGAAGTACTCCTTATCCGTAATAGCCCATTTCAGAATCATATTGAGTAACTGGGTTACTGTTATGAATATGAATGTGTTTTTATCACAGCTGGTAGATGTAGAGCTAAATGTTAAAACTGTATATATATATAAAATAATCTAAATCTCAAAAGTAACTATTAACTAAAAGCTGTCAAATAAATGTAGTGGGGTATAAATATAAAGCATAAACGGAGAATACTCAGTAAAGTACAAGCACCTCAAACTTGTACTTAACTACCGTACTTTGTTACTATCCACTCAAATGTAATTAAAAGTCATAGTAGAATATGTCCCAACAATTGTCATAATAAAGTCATTTAAAATGTAGCATAATATCAAAACAAAATGTCGTGTCATACATTTGAATCTATAAAAGTACATTATGTTTGTATTAACTGAACAGAAGAATAAATTGCAAATTTAAAAAAATTGAAAAAGTAAGGCAGACTGCCACGTGCAGCGCCTCATTTGGATGTGTCTGACGCTTGGAGCTTAACTTCCCTACGTTTCTCCTACAAATGGGCCTTGAGCTTGTTTGGAGGTTCTAGCAGGGGAGCGCAGCTACTGGTACACCGAAGGATGGTCATCATCCGCCGGGGGAACCGTCCTCTTCCACCGAGCGCGGGGCTTCGGGAGGGACACACATGGAGCGATGAGGGAGGAAGGGGACACCCGCCTAGCCAGCCAGATCAGCCGAATAAACCCTAGCGATCAATGGGGGTGACAGATGTCGCAGCCAGATCGCCCTCACATCCATATAGGAAATGTGGGGCGTGGTGAATATATAAGGGAGTAAAACACAACCGATTACTGTCACGGTGTGGAATATCGACAAAAGTGTTTATAGTTGGTATAATAGTTCGCCTTATCTCCCCATTCATGTTTATTAACTTAAAATGTACAAATACTTCAAAGTTGACGAAAATAGTCAGTAAAAGACGAGCATATTTTTCCCATGATGTCTAGCGCCAACATGTAAATGGCCCACGTTTTCATTGGCTAGAATCAACCAATGAAACGTCTTCAAATTTCGTTCCCACCTTCATCTTTTTTTGATTCAGCTACTTCATTATACAACGACCGATCTTAACTTTTGTTGCTCACATTTCTCCACGACAGGGCTGAGGGTGCACAGGTATGATTCAAGACCTATATACAGTCTATGTTCAAGACATTAAAACGAATTTTGGGTATCATTTTCCGGGCGTATTTGTATTTTGTATTATTAATGTGTGATATTAATTGTGTGGTTTAGAGATTAATCGATCCACTTCCGAAATACTATCGCCATGGCTGGGAAAGTTGTACTTCACTATTTCAATGGGAGAGGAAAAATGGAGTCAATCCGCTGGCTCTTGACTGTTGCAGAAGTGGAAGTAAGTAAAGGGTGTGTGGTGATATTAACATGAGAATATTATTGATTTTAAGGAACTTCAAACCTAAATATGTCATGTGATCTCTGTTTACAGTTTGATGAGGTGTTTTTGACAACTCGGGAGCAGTATCTTAAACTCCTGAGTGGTAAGTGTGTTTCCAAAATGTTGTTCAAAGTTCAAATAAACCTCCCGATTCTCTCTGGCCAATTTCCAAGTCATACATTTGAATTTACAATGAGTTTATCATGTGACTTTGACCCACTTGTGATGTAACCTGGGGTGAGCTTATCTTTGTTAAGGTGAATGATTCGAATGTTTTATGACCTGTTGACAAAGCTATTATCTACAATATAGATTGATGTTTTACCACACGGGTGTGCCGCTGCTGTGTTTCTTTTGCAGATGGAGACCTCATGTTTCAACAGGTTCCATTGGTGGAAATGGATGGCATGAAGCTTGTTCAGACAAAGGCAATCTTAAACTACATTGCAGAGAAGCACAACCTTCATGGAAAAGATCTCAAAGACAAACTCATGTAGGGTCCATTCTTTAGAAGAGTCATTACAAGAGTCTTCTTTTACATGTGATTTTAGTTGATGAAGGTGTCAATGCTTTCCCTCAGGGTCAACACCCACTCAGAGGGATTGATGGATCTCATGGAAATGATCATGACTTTGCCCTTCGCCGCAGATGTCAAAACAAAACTGGACAACATTCAAAATAAAGCAAAAGACCGCTACCTTCCTGTGTTTGAAAAGGTACCACCATGCTTACTTTAAATAAGTGTGATCAAATAACAGTTCAAGCTTGGTTAAAACATTTAAAATTGGAAAATGTATCTGTTAATTTGTATAATATATGAAAACTAAAGTATGCGTTGTGTACATCTCAGGCTTTGAGTGGGCCCATATACCTGGTTGGAGGTAGACTGAGCTGTGCAGATGTGCAGCTGCTCGAATGCACCCTGATGTTGGAGGAGAAATTTGTTGGCATCCTTGCAGAATTCCCCAACCTCAAGGTAAATTTTAAAAAGAAACACACTTTATAATACTGCAGGTCCTTCCTTCCTGCAGCGGTCAGGTCTAACACACAACAAAGACTATAACACCCCATTTTGTGCAAAACGACTTATGTGCAATTAATATACCATAAATAACCGTGCAATATATACTTCCACCTGGCTGCTATCTCAAAACTATACTGGTACTGGATGTGTATTTTGTAAATTGTGTAATTTCTACTTTTATTTTAAATATTTGTATGCATGCTTCCTAATTATATTAAGCTATCTTTACTTACTGTAACAATGTACATTTCCTCCTCTGTGGGACGAATATAGGTATTCTGATTCTGAAGACTGAATTTAAGTAGAGAAACAACAAATCTTAACTAAGAAATCCCAGTAAGTTGATCATTATTATAACAACAATGCACTGATTGCTTTTTCTTTGATTCCTCCAGTCTTTCCAGGGCAGGATGACCAGAATTCCCGCCGTCAGCAGGTTCCTGCAGTCCGGCAGCAAGAGGAAGCCGCAGCCAGACGATGTATACGTGAAAACCATCATGGAGGTTTTCGACATCAAATCCCCGTTTCTGTGAACTCTGTCCTCCTCTCACAGGCAGGGTGAATGATTGATAATGCAAGGACAGCATTTTGTCCACGAGGATCGACTATATTCCAATACTTCACTAACCATCACGAACGTTAGCATTAGCTTGACTGGAATCTATGTAGTTTGCACTGAATAAATATTTGACAAACATTTAATGGCTGCTGTGTTTCTTTGTTCCGTGTTCATTCAATGACAGGAGTTGTATAATATCCACAGTTTACATAAAAAAACGTCATTATTTTAGGATTTGTTTATTTTGTTTTTCCATGAATACAAAAATCACTAACTTATTGACAGTAAATATCATTTGAAGTTAAAGACATAGCATGTCTTCAAGAATACATATTTTGGCGTCCCTTTTTCTGTAATTTAAAACCATGATAGTATTAGCAGCCAGCAACACCGAAGTTGTAGTGAATAGTTAGCCCCCTGCCAACATAAGCTCATGTACATCTGCTAATCTTAGAGCATGACATTTACATTCATGCACATATAACACAAGAAAAAGCAGTTATTTATATAAGATCACCAAAGCAGACTTACTGCACTAATATACAGTATGTTGTTAATCTTAAATCTGGTGACTTTTTTCTGGTCACATGTTAGTTAAGTAATGATACCAAACAAAAGGCTTGTTTTAGTATGCTGGGAATGCTGTTCATTCAAACAAGGCTGGTCCATTGATAGAGAGAGAGTCAGTCCAGTTATTCCTCCTGTCACATCATGAGGGATAGTAACAGCCGAAACACCATCAACAAACTGTAAGAAAGAGACAGCAAATCAAAAAGTAATACATCATTGTCTGATATTTTTATAATGTTTTTACAATATAATAGTAATATTATATAAATAGAAAGAATATATATATAAATTGTGCAATACCTAGTCCTGGTTATATACATTTACATTAATTAATTAACTTGTTGTCATGTTTATCAAGTTTGAATCACACCTTAGCCCTGACATGATGCCAGCAGGCAATATTTTCCCAGATTTCTTGTATCTCATTCCCATCAGGACCGAAAGGGCTCCAGCAGTTACTGAAAGTAAGAAAACACCATGAACTAAATTCAATACTCTGATTTATATTTGTATTTATTTGGGACATGCTCAGCTGTACTCACGCAAAGAGACCTTGATGTCCTTTGGGTCATAAGAGATGTTGAATGCACCATAAGCAGAAAACCCACCAAAAACTAAACCGGCCATCAGGGACATCACGCTGCCTACAATCACACGGAGACACACAATGATTATCAGGGCTCATGTTTTACCTGACACATATTTTTCGTAAAGATTTCTGCCAAAATGAAAAGGGTTTAACCTTTTCTCGAGTAACCCATATATCCTCCAAAGGCGATGGCGAGAGCATAGCCAAATCCAATCCAGTCCACGGCCATCTCAAAACTAGGAACAAGTGCAGTACAGGGTGAGGTACGATTAGTAATAATGTTGAATTAAGACTTTATTTATTTTATTTTATTTAATCGTTTATTTGGCAGGGACAATGCACAGTAATGAACACTTAAAACATTAATGTATCAAGCGTAACAGTGCCAGATTTAGCTTTGAGCTCATTTCCATCCGCAGTCCCTCACATAAAACATTTAAGAAAATTACATTTTACAAACATAGCAAAAACAAAATACATGATATGCAAAAAGTGCAAGAGAGCAAGAGTATTTATGACATGGTAATACAATATAGCAGCAACGACATATAAAGTGCAAGAGAAGATAAAAGAGCTACCTAAAGTGCAAGAGGAGATACCCCTGTGTTAAAGTGCATTTAGCGGTGATTACACGTCTGGTTGTTTCTCAACCATTCTTTGAGTTGACCTTTGAAGCTATTAAGAGTGGGACAATCCCGTATCTCAGTTGGGAGGCTATTCCACAATGAGCTGCCTTTAATGGAAAGGACATTTTGTCCAAAAGTGGTCCGTACGGTGGACTTCACAGTCTCCTCTGGTTTCTGACCTAGTGCAGCGTCCAGTGTGTTTTTTGTGGATGAATTCCCCTAAGGGAGGGGGGGCCAGTCCATGTAAACATTTATAAAAAAAACACATACTTTTAAAAGACTTAAAATGGTCAAAACTCAAGAAATTGTGTTTTTCAAGGATGGTACAGTGGTGGTATGAATTTGGCTTTCTGTCAAACACCTTGATAGCTCTCTTGTACAGCTGTTCTATGGGTTTCAGGTTTGTGGCACAAGCAAACGACCAGTTTGTAAAACAGTATTCAATATGGGATAGAATCATACAGTGGAGGTATGACTTTGCAGCATTGACAGTTAAGAAAGGTCTAATTTGTTAAAGATTTTGCAAGTTGAATTTAACGGTATTGGATACTTTCTTAAAAGTCAAGTTTGAGTCCATTATGACTCCAAGATACTTGAAGTGGGGGACTAGTTCTATTTCTGCTCCGTTTAAAAACACATTGGATCCTTCGATTTTGACTGACCGTTTACTGAACATCATGCATACTGTTTTTTTTTGCATTTAACTGTAAGCAAATGTTGTTCAGCCAGTGTTGAACCTTTAAGCAGCAAACCAAATCAAACAATGCCAAATTAAACAGTATTTTGAGCTTATTGAATACTGAAGTTAATACATTTTGGAGAATTAAGTCCCTGCAAAGGAGTAGCAAAGCTAAGATATAGGCGTATTAGATTTGTAAAAGTTTTTATTTTCCTAAACTTTAAACAGAAAAATAAAAACAACTCTGATAAAAAAAAAATGTTTTGTCTTGCTTTACTATTCTTTGTTACATGTAATGTTTCAATAGAGTTCTGACATCTATTTTAGAAAGTATGTGAGGTTTAGTCTAATTGTATTTGTGATGGAAGTATTTTCAATGAAAAATAAAGAGGTTTAAAATAACTGTATAATCAATATAATTCTTATTATATATATATCAGCAAAATAAATCCTAAATGAAGGATCAAACCCGTTTTGTCAATGCAAATCACCCTTTTTTCCACTGCACAATAACACTTGTACTTAAGTACTTTGACCCGATTATCTCCCCGCAGTAACTGTGACAAACCTCTAGGTGTTGCTGTGAGACTCTAAAATCACAGCAGATGAAGCGTATTGCTCTATACGCACGTATTTGAATAATTTACCTAAAGTGACGTACGTTTTGTTATGATATTATCGTTCTGCATTAACTCACCTGGTCTTGGTGAATATTACATACCTTTAGTCGAAACAAGTGAACAGCAGCACTGAGAAACCTCCAATCTGTGACTGCACTTCCGTGTTACTGCCACTGCCACTGCCCACAACACGCATGCGCAGTTCGGTTTGTGCTGTATTCAAAGACTTTTGATAAAGAGGGAAAAATGATACACGATTGAAAACATTACAAATCAATACCAGTAGAGGACTAGTTTGTTTAGCTATTTAGCACCACTTCCCCTAAGAGTCAATATTTGAAAGGTATCTTGCGTAATATTTATGCAACAGAGCATTCTTTGTAGAAATGATGGCAGTAAAAGGGAATTTCTCGTTGGCTTGATTTGTTGTCTGTGCATGTTTTGGACTGAAATTGTCTCACTAATTGTGGAGATTACGGTCAAATAGAAACAAATGGGGAACATTTAGTTTGAATATCACATAAATAAACCGTGAATTCTTCAGATTTTCACCAGAAATGTTTTATACTTGTATCATCAGAGATGTTCTGAATTGTGCAGAACCAATACTGCAGACATCTTAACTTTAGTCACCTTCTGTACCAAACAAAATGTACCTACATGTAGGTAGTTGTAATCACATCGTTTTTGATCAATATTAAAATTATCATTCTTTAACTAGCCATACAAAAAAACTGGATTACCAAACCGGGCAACTTTTACAATTGAAAAGCCCAAGATTCACAGCATACACATTTGTTCGAGAATACTTACCACCATCCACTGAAGTAGGCTACACTCTGGTCATGCATTACTTCTTGCAAAGTAGATTTGTGTCTAAATCCAGTTGTAAAACCTAAATGATTAACATTTGGCTCATAATTAATTAAAATTACCATTTCATTTGCACACAAGTAGTATTATTTGAACATTGTGGTTCTGGTTGGTCCGTTTCAATGCCCACAGTAAAACTGCATGTACTAACCAGAGGAATACACAATGCACAGTAGGCAGTCAGTGGGGGGGGGGGGGGGGGGGGGGACATTATGGGCCAAATAGAAAATGTAATCTGGTAATAATCTCTCCCTCTTGACGCTTAAACCCATTGTGCAGCAGGATTTATTTTTTAAATTCTTGCTCTGTTCATTAAGTTTCTAAACATCAAAAATATAGTTCAGTGTAAATAAAAGAAAGGCATGTTGTCGTGCATAAGGCATTTCCATTTGATGTGAAAAATGGCACCCTGGCATGTTTACCAGCACACAGAAGTAAAACATTGTGCCAGTAGTAATCAGATATACTTTTAATAATTTTGTTTTCAGAACAGTAAATCAAGAGAAAACTTGACTCTCCCCAAAGAAAACCATTTTATTTCACTCTACCCCATTTCCAAAAATCACATACATTAAAGGATTCATTGTTTAATAATAATAATCTTCAAAAAGTGAAAATCAATGCATTCTTCAAGCAAAATAAGCCACTATGAACTGTAGACAATGTGACCGCAGGCTTCCATGCAGTCACCCGGTGGAATAGAGCCACTGTGGGCCTCCGTGAGAGAGAGGGCTGAGGACCAACTCCTCCAAAGAGAAGGCACACATTTCCAATATCCGTTGGCATTTAAATTCGGTCTACATAGAGTTTTCCTGATGAGGTACAGTCTGATTTTGTCTGGATAAAAATTACTACAAAATGGCTGACAAGAGGCATTTAAGAACGAGGAAGGATATTATTCAATTGAGGTATCGGAACGACATGTAAAAAGTATGATTTACTGTACCATGAGAAAAACATATCAGACTAACTCTACACAAGGACGAGACAGCAAACATGTAAAGTGACTCGTGGAAAAATGCAATGGTTTCCGTACAGTAAACAACAACAATGGACATACAGTGCTTTAACATTACAGTGACATTTATAATACAAATGGCTTCGAGTGCACAGGAACATGTGATATACTGTTTACATGGCTTTGTCAGCTTTTTGCTAGGTAGACACTTTCGTGTGAGCTGTAACATGGTATTCAAAGTAATAAATGCATATAAAAGTTATGGAACTCTGAATAAACCATTATAAAATAACTCCTTATTATGTATATAGGCCCCAAGAAATTTTATTTGCTGTCATCCAGGCTGGCATTAAACAAGTATTGCTCAAAATAAAACACGTGTAGAACATCATGGTAAATAACACCGGGTTTTGGCAAGGATCTACGTTTCAAGGTTAAAGCAATATTGGAACAGTTGTTTTTAAACACGCATTCTTCCATGTGAGCTCACTGTGGTGTCTGCCAGTGTTTCTGCAACAAAGACTCAAAGAATGTTTGTCAAATCAAAATCTTGGAAATAAAAATAAAACATTTACTTTATCATATATGCATAAATGAGACTGTTTAACAGCTACATTCAGCATCAGAATATAAAACAAAGTGACGTCTCGTTAATATTTATGGTAAACAATGCAGCTGGTGTTTAGGAGCCCCTATAGGGGACTGCATGCCATCTATTTTTGTTTTACTCATGTAAAAATATCACTTAAAATGAGCAAAGTGCATTAACCTCCGAACATGGGACTTGGCATAAATAACATTACAACCAATGTCAAAGAGTCAGTGCACTTTAATAATTAATGATGCATCATCAGTAGGCTGGTGTACTGTCAGCTACATGGAGCAGCTGAACATGATCATTAAAACATGTTTGTAGCCCAATTTATTCTCATATATATATATATATATATATATATATATATATATATATATATATATATATGTCATATTTAAAACTGGCCGATGCTTGATGGGAAAGTAAGCATGCATGAATACTAATTTGGCTAAATCTGTTAAGGGGGAATTCTTTTAAGATAAGTATATATAATTTTTATTTGATAGTAGATTACAAGGGCTATTCTGAGGAATCTAATACTTTTCACCATATCCACTGATTCTTTCCTTTTCCTCATTTCAGGCTGCAAATCCAAGTAACGCGAGGTAACAAGTAGCACAAAAAGCTTGACATTTCTCCGTATCTCTGTTCAACTTTAGCTCAAGGTCAACACTGAGCAAGACATGAGGGGTAAATCTCTGAGCCTCTTAGCAGTCGCTGCATCTGGAACACACCTCGTCTTGTAGCGATGCAGGGAAATGGCGAGGTCTCTCCATGGCTTTTGTGCGTCTCATGGTGGCAGCCGCTGCCCGCCTGGTTAGGGGAAAGCGTTGACCCACAGCCAGCCCAGCAGAGTCCCGTACAGCCAGGTCCCCACGTACACCTTCCTGCCGCTCTCCGTCAGCAGCAGCGGCAGTGTCAGCCCCCCCAAGATCACCATGGACGGGAGGGTTTTAGAAAGGCTCAGAGGAGAATGTTTGCCTTCCCCCGGGAACGTGCGTATTTTGTCTGCATCCTCCGACTCGTAGAAGTCCGTCAGCAGCCTTTGAAAAGACAGATAACTCTCTTAGGAATTCAGCACGTCTCAGAAAAGCACAAGGGTTACACAGGTTAAAGAGGAGGTTGCAGAAATGTGTCCGGGTTAGGATTTCTACAGCAGTTACAGCACAAAAACTGCACCCAGACCCCTGAGTGATTTTTGTGGATTGATTGGTGTTGTCAATGCTGGGATCAAACTTAGCACACTGAATATATGAACGACAACAACTTTTATTTCATTCCACTTCTGTCCTTTACGGTCCATATCAATGATTTCTGGACTTTTTATGTCAAGCCCCTTGAGTAAAACAATCTTAGGGTCGCAATTCATTATTATTTTTATCCTCAGATAAATCAGAGGATTATTATTTTGATTGCTCAACATTTTGTGTGATAAATGCCATTTTATATACCAGGTTAATGAATTCTAATGTGTTTTGTCTGAACAGTCTAGAGTCAAAAGGCTTAGAAGAATTAGAAAGGCAGAACATATTCATGTTGGCTGCAACAAGAATAAGATTAAGTATTTATTCCTTTAACAAAATGACTTAAACTATAAATAGATTTATTTATTAGCTTCAGATTCATCCAGCAACCACTTAAGCTGCAATTCTATCTGCCATTAACTATTTTTGGCAAGCCAACTTATATTTGAATATAATATTTAAAACACGTCCTTTGTTTATACCAATGTTACTGGCCCCAGAATCACAGGTCTATACAAAAAGGGAACTGCATATACACAGATTTAAAGAATGAGTTAGAAGACGGTATTATTTTTAGGATATGTTTTTGAAGCCGAGCTACACATCTGTGCATAACACTGGTGGTGTGCGGAAGCAAAACATGTAAAAACATAACTGCAGTTCACTTATTGATTGAATAACATGCAATTTCAAGATGATTAATTGTTCCACCCACACACACACACACATACACACTTACCGGTCCTTGATTTCAAACCGCTCATGCAGCCACCTGCGGAAAAACAGTGGCTCTGAAGGAATTTCCTTTATGTCCACGCGGTCAAAGTATATGTGGACTCGGGGACATTCTTTGCACAGGAATTCTGTCAAACACAGAAAAATAAAGAGACTAAACAAAAACAGGAAAAGCCTTTCAGCAAAACGGCACGTAGAGTAAGCACTTAAAATCAACACGAGGTGACAGTGATGGAGTGGAGCTGCTGGATGTGATGCCAAGGTACTTCGATTCCAGAGAATAAAGGCCGGGCACGAACCACTGCCTGTTGGTCACTCCGGTGAACCACAGTTTCATAAGTGATTCATAGCCCAATACGTATCTCATATCTAATATAACATCAGAGGAAAGGTAGAAAAGTCAATCAAATATCAAATAAACGTATAAGTGATTATTTGCATGAGATAAAAGTAATTCAGTTTCAGCATCACCTGATAAATTATTGTATAGGTCTTAAAGGATTTTATCTTATTTTATTAATCTAATATGTTTCAATAGCAATATTTATTTTTACGTTGTTTTTTTTAAATATTTTAATGGTTGAACCTTTATTAGAATTATGGCCTTTTTATGACTATTATCTTATCTTTTTCTTTCTGTTGTACCTATATGTTCACTTATGGGGTTTTATATTGTTGCATCGATTCAGTTGTCTTGTGTCTTATCTGTGGGAGAGAAATCATTATTTATTTTTATTTGTATTATCATTCCTTTTACCTCCTTGTGTCTATTAACCTGTTAAAATGTTATATTTT